TGGGTTGGTTTGGCTTGAAAAGTAATTTTTTTACTTAGTTTGGCTTGAAAGGTAATTTTATACAATAAAGAGACGTAATCGATTTTAATAACTTGAAAGTAGTTACGAGTCCCAAAAATAATTTTTCAAAAAATGCCTATTTAGGAATTAAAGTTTATATATATATATATATATATTTATACATAATTTTTATACATATAATTTTATAAATTTTATTTTTTTTACTTTTAAAAATTAAGATTTATTTATTTTTATTAAAAATAATTATTTTTTATCTAAAAAATTATAGTACATCTCAACCATTAAAACTAAAAAAAAAAAAGTCAAAATTTTATATAGCTATAATGTATATATTTTGTGTGTAAATAAATTTCTTTTTATTTTTTCAATATAATTAATTATATTATTTTTCAAATAAATAATGACTTATATTCAATTGCAATTAATTATATTATTTTGTTAAAATGTGTGTCAAAAAAATTATTTTCCTCTTATTTGGCTAAATCTTAAAAGTTTACCTAATTATAACATTTTTTTAGGAGTTTGAGTAGATGTTCTTTAGAAGTATTGAATTGAATTACAAATTTATATAGCAAATAATTATAAAAAAAAATTTAAAAATTGATAAATGTTATCAAATTGAAAATCTCAATAGAAGATCATCCACGAAAGCAATAGGTTTACGGTTAAAAAAAGTGTTTGGGACAACTTCAATTTTTGTAACAGAAAATCATTTTACAGACTGAGCCAAATAGTATGGCTTATAATGCAATATGACTTGCTTTTTTACATTTTACTTAAATCCTAAGAAATTTTTTTTTTTGAATATCTGATTATGCGTTATATAAGAGAAGATAGTCCTCATTTATTTCCCAATCCCTCTCACCTGTCGAACTTGAGACTTACAATTTGGAATCAAACTCTTAAGATTGAGGCACCCATTGGGTTTTTCTTTTTTTTTTTTTTTTTGCAAGAATTTTTGTAGCTATAAAAATGGGACATGTTTTTCTCACATGAAGAAGGCTGAAGCTCTAAAAAAATGTGGAAACCATATAGTTTTCTTTACATTTGAACAAGAGAAATATGCATTTTTATTGATCATATAGTTTAACTCTAGATGAAACATGAACCAGATTGAACAAGCATGTAGATTGATTTAAGAGTAGAACACAGGGCAGTGGGAGGAACCTATCATTGTTTCAAACAGCTTGAGCTCTGGCATTGGATGGCAAACTGAGACACGGTACTGGCATAAATATCAGAAGAAGTAGGGAACCTGCTCTTGTTAGGCCAAAGCCATATCTTTGAAACAGAAAAGCTCTCACCTCTTGTTCTCCGGATTCTCTTCTCTTCCGCTTCATCAGTGGATGAATTCCCATCAATTCCTTTCCCTTTGGCAAGCTTCCCATTCCTACCACCATTAGGAATACCGGAAGACAAGGCCACTTGCAGAGTTGAATCATCAACAACATATTGAAATGCACCCATTGAGTAACATCTCCTTACATCAAAATTACAACTACTACTAATTTCTCCATTTCCTTTCTCTCTACCACTTTCCCCACTATTCATACTTCTAAACTTACCTAGTCTCACTGAAAACACCCTCTTTTCCCCAACTTCCTCAATGATCATTGGTTTCTGATCACTACAAGAAACCCCATTTTCTCCATTGCCACCAATCCCATTTGACGTTTCCCTCAAATAATCATAACTAAACACTGGATTTTCCATTGGTAAGCCGGAGCTAGAAAGACTTCCTCTACAAAGAGGGCATGTAGAATTCGAAAGAAGCCATGTGTCAATACAATCAATGTGAAAAGCATGGCTGCAGGCAGGAAGCAATCTTAGCTTGTCTTGATATGAGAATTCACACAGACAAACAGCACAATCAAATGGCTCCTTCAACCCAGTTACGTCTTTGTAAAAGAAAACCGGTAAAGCATCTATGGACGCTTGGTCTAGACCCGAGTCATGTAAACGAAAGAGGTGTTGAAGCCTATGAGACCCAGAGGTTTCTGGGTGTCGATTGGAGTGAAAAATTGGTGAAAAAGATGGCCTTTTTAGGAAAAATCTAACCAGTAAATGCAGAAGACCCGCAAGGAAGAAGATTAAAGCTAAAATAACTATAACCAAAAGAAGTACTGGGCTGATTTTGCTTGAAGATGAAGATGGGGTTGATTGTTTCCCAAAGTCCAGACTGTAATATGGAGATGGAATAGAAGAGAGAGGTGAATTTGGTTGAGGGTCCATCAATTGTTTAATTTTAAATGAAATTCTAGGCATTATAGCAGATGGATAATTGGATATGCTCAAAAAAGGCCAAAGAAAAAGAAATCAAATTCTTCTCAGATTTCTAGCTAAAGAAACTATGAGTTCAACTTCCTCTGCTCTGAAAATGAGAAAAATGGACAGAATTAACACGATCAGAATTGCAGGACAGTAGACACCAACCTGAGAAACGCAGAGTACTGCCAGGTGGGGTTCTGAAGGTTGTTGGTGACAGATTGATGATGGGTATTTCCTCTGATTCTTCTGAATACTGTTATTGACAAAAAAGCACAGATTTTTTTTTTTTTTTTGGGGGTTTTATACACAAACAAAATAGTAAAAGAACTCCCTTTTTTCAGACATTCTGCATTAGGGTTCTGGTCTAATTCCCATACTGACATACGTAATTGGAAAGTTAAGCAAGGATTAGGAAAAGCACGAGAAAGATGAGAAATGATTAAAAAAGGTCCACCATTTACATTCATCTTTGATTATCCACAGTGCCCCTGTTTGACTTCCTTTTTTCTTCATCAGGGTTTCTTCAGAATTATTGCCCTTTAATCATTATTATTGTTTTTGTTCTTTGCCCTGTTATTCACGGCAAATACCCATCAATCCTGGCTCTTTTCCATCCATCTCTATACTCTGTTATCATTCAACTTTGAATCTTTACAGATTGGATGGTAAGAAAGGAACCTCATTTTTCCATCATGAATATGAGAAAAAAAAGCCTAATTTTTTGACAACAAAACCTAATGGTGGGGTCAGATATGTTTTTCCTTGCACGCATGGCACCTAGACTCGTCCTTACTTGTTAACAGAAATGCTGGCTCAGACAAGGCAAAGGAGAATAACTTTAGGTCACTTTGTTTTTTTCTAATGTTCTGTCTCTTGAATCATCAATTCAACATAATGTTTATATATGTTTGAAGTTGAAATTTTTTGTAATAAAAACTTATGAATAAAGTCAATTCATACCAAGGGTCAAAGAAATAATCTCTTCCATTACACAGACATTGAATACATCATATTGAAAAAGAAATGAGTAATCTTGAATTTTATATGGTATGGTACTATAATTTGTTTTTATATTAAATCAAATGATAGATTATATAAAAAAAGATAATTTCTTTTCCTAATCTCTTCTCACTCATTTTAAGATTTAAAATCAAAATTTTTAATTTAACACTTAAAATCTTAAGTTTTAATTACTAGACCCCCCATGGGGTAGTATGGTACTGTAGTTGAACAACATACTATAGGTTTTGGTCTTCACTATCATAATTACATTGGATACATCAGAGCAAGTCCTCGAATCTCATCTCCTTCCTTCAGGACCGTTCCCACTTAGATGCAAGTGAGTCAGATGCTTAAAGTTTCTTATCTCTTCTGAAATGAAATCAATCCAGAAATGTAGTCTCTGTTCAAGCTTAGAACTGCTAGAGAACTTCCCCCACACATAGGGAAGCAGCATCCAGAATTCAGTGAGATTCATCTCCTTGTGTACGATTTTTCTGGACGGATTCCAACGGTGAATCACTAGCTACTCCCTTCTAGTTGTCCCTGCAAGGGTCTAAAGAGATTCCAATCGCT